CACATCTGCAATGCACTCAGAAGTTGGTGACAATGATTCCCCCCCCCTGCTTTCTTGTTCTCTTTAAAATCAATGTCTGCTCACTGGCTCTCAGTCAAACCTACCACACAGGGTTGTTTTGGGGACTGAATGAGGAAGTGGAAAGCCATGTACACCACCTTGAGTTCCTTGGAGAAAAATGTGGGATGTAAATGCAATAATTCTTTATTTTTATTATTATGAAGAGGAGGAGGAGGAAGGAGGAGAGGAAGAAAAATTAATAATAAGAATAATAATCCTGACACTGGCATACATGCAAAGACAGCTGCCAGGAGGAGTTAATGCTCTAGCAAAGGGAAAGAAAACTACCATAGTTGATTGCTTCTTTATCAAATGTTGAGATTTTGCAGTTCCGTGCATGTTATAATTCTGGGAGTAGATGGAAATAGCTCTATGCCCTCCAGGGGAGAGAGCCTTCTCTACTACAGATCTGGGCTCCTCTCAGGTGAGAGATGGGAGGAGTAAAAGATCGTCCAGAGTCCAGTACTGCTTCAGATATCAGGAATGCATCTTATGAGTGTACACATGGCTGTGAACCTTTGCCTGTGGGTTGTAATATTCTTGAATACGAGTGGTTCACGTATGAGTGGCAAACAGAGGTGACGTTTGAGGTAGCAAATGGCTGCAGTGGTTGTGTGAAATGGATGGTGAGCAAGACTGGATGAACGATTTTCTGTTGTGTTGTTTGGATCTATATATTTATACTGCCTTGTACTTTTCTCCAATTTTATTCGTTTTGTGTTATGGATTGGATATGGTATGAGTATTTTGCTATGCAAATCACTTGACTTTAAAAAAAAAAGATACTCAGTGTGCGCGTAAACCACTTTGAGGTCTTTCAGGCAGTAAAGCAGTCTATAAATGGAAGTAGCAATAAATCATATTAAACTCTTCTCTCCATTTTAGCTAAAGCAAGCGTCTGCTGACATTGGTGAGGCTTCCGAACAAGAGAGAGAAGTAAACACAATGAAGCTTTGCCAGCCTCAAAGTGATGATGGGGTGGGGAAGGAAAGAAGCAAGGAAGGAAAGAAGACAGGTAAGGAAGAGAGGGGTGGAAAACAAAAGCCAAGGCTTGCCAACGTAGAAAGCATTTGTAGTACCACTGCCAAATCTAAGTTAAAACATTGCTTTAGAAAGCACAGACGCTCCTAAGTGGATTCTCAGGTTCCAAGAGGTCCTTTTAACACTCATGGAGGGGGAAAAGCATAACAAAAATATTATCCCACTGTGATTTTAATCAGATTACTTGTAGCCCCACTAGGCTTATAAACCTGGGTTTTTCCAAGGAGGGGCCCTGCGACCAGGCACCCCCATTAATGCACCAGGAACTGGCACTGCCAAGCCTAGTAAAAGCTTCGCTGAGCGAGGCACAGCTGCAAGAAAACACTAATAAAAAGCGTCTCGAGCCTCCTACTTTACAAGCGCTGCTCCCATTTAAAGCACAGGCAAACACACACAGCATTTGGCTCCAGCTCAAACTTCCTAGCTCAGCTTGAGTTAAGGGTACAGGTGAGCAACTGGATGCCAAAAGATTTTTTAAAAAGAAAAAGAAAAAAAGACTTCCCCCCCCACTACCTAAAAGAGAAAGGGAGAGAGAAAGAAATTTCGCCCTTGATTTTATTGATAGGGAGGCCTGTCTGCTGAAAGCTAAGCTGAGCCACTCAAGAGCATCTTATTAATATAAAAATAAATAAATGTGTGAGCAGTGTTAGAAACTGATATATGAAAGCTAGGAGCTAAATGGCAGCTGAAACCTAGGTTATGGGAGCAACAACGGAATGTCTAGCTGCACTTTTTTATAACAAGAAAACAAAGCTGAAAATGAATGAACTGCAGCTAAAATCTTATGTTCATTTTTCACATGGTCTAGTCCTTCCCCTGCCCACCCCCCTAATATTCTTAAGAGGGTGTCTTCTCCAGACTTCAGAGAGGAGCTGAAAGTGGGGGGCAGAAAAAGGTTCTCCTTTCCTTCCACTCTGCAGTTTTAATCTGAAATCTTAGGTGCTGTACTGTGGCTAGAGCTCATAAACTGTTCGCGCAAATGAAATTCCCTGTCTCAAAATGTGCCTACAACAATGGGAGTTTCAAACACTGTCAGTGAGTTATTTCCCAGGTTTCCACCGAAACTTACCAGCAGAATATCCAAGAGCTAAATACAAATATGCAAGAAATTTGTGTTATATAATCTCACATATATAGCTATTTTAGTGATTAACTGAATCCTAAAAGAGAACCAGAGCAAGCTTGAGTAGAGTGCCATTTAATGCTTTTATACTTTCATGAGGAAGAGCTACAGCTCAGTGACAGAGCATCTTCTTCGCATGCAGGAGGTCCCAGGTTCCACCCTCAGCATCTGGGAGAATCGCTGCCAGTCAGTGTAGACAATACTGAGCTAGATGGAACAATAACCTAACTTGGTATAAACCATTTAGACAGTCTAACCCAGTGGACAAATTCTCTGTGACCAAGTTGTATACAATAGTTTACTTTTGATCACTGAAAATGATTCATTGGGTCAAAACATGTCTGGTCCTTGACATATTTCATTATCATCTGCTGGTCATATTAGGACTCTGACCTGAGTAGACAAATCAATTTGTTGCCATAGTTTAGTAATTCTGTCAACATTCTAATCTTTTAACATTAAAGTTAAATTAATTAAATTTAAATCTCCTTTTCCTACTTTATTTAGAAGGATCCAGATCTTTTATTCTTACCCAACTTAAAACATTTTTTTCGAGTTCGCATTGCTCATGACGCCAGTCCACACTAGCCAATGCAACTTCACTGACTCTCAAACTGCTCTGCCGCCCATAAGAATCACAATAATGGTAATAATAGTAATAACAAACGCTAACAGAACAACAGCTGTGAAAAGCAGCATGGCATTCCATTTAACAGAAGAGGTCTTCCATCATTCAGCCAAAAAAATAAAATCAAAAGCACCGGGAGGAAAATGAAAACGGTCTTTATTTTTTATGGCTTTGCTTTTTACTTGATCGCTTTAGAAGCTGACTAAAAGCTTTGGCCATCCATCTTGTTCCAAAAGCCTTGTAAAGCGCACAGAACTCAGCTGCTCAGCTGCCTCCTAAATATCCTGGGACTGCTTCTCAAGAATGGCTTCAGAAGTCCACCATTTGCTTAATGTCAAGAAGAGAGCATAATAAAAGCAGATCCTAATATATATTCTTTTAAGTGGGAGAATAGAGTCAAGGCCACTTTACTGCACCAAGCAATTGGCCTGGACAACTTTGGGGTACAATTTCAGTGTAAAATCTCCATTGCAGGAGTTACAACAGAGTGATTTGAAAGAAAGGAATGACCCGGCGCAACAAAACCCTTACACTATAAACTTCTATTGCCTGCTTAGAAGTCCCCAATGCGAACTGCTCAATCCTTTCCATTTCTTCTGCTCGGGAGTTTCTTTGCGGTGAAAGCATACCACTCTGAGTTAAAAACGGGTGAAAATCTTCCAATAAAAAACCCAGATGATTTCCTGATCAGAAGAGGCTGTTAATACAAGCCAGGGTGAGGGAGCTTTTTCAGCACTCCCTCGTTGGCAACCCTTCGGGGAAACATGACAGAGGTGGGGAGGGCCAGAAGCAAAAATGGCTGGAGCGGCAGATGGGACCTTTACCTCTGTACATTGGGCTACATTTCAGCTGTGCAGAAGTCAGAGGTTTCTATACTGCCCACATACACTGACCCCTTGATGAGCTTATAAAGTAGTCATCGATCCCAACCCAAATTCTTAAAAAATGTCAAAGTCAAGAAATACCTGTATACAATCTTTCTTAAAGCAATAAAGCAGCAAGGTTTGAGAACATTGTTGTATTGCAGAAACTTCTGACTAAGTATAGAGTAAGGCTGGGCGATATCTGGCTTTCAACAGCACAATAGATGACCAGCTAAACATTGCAACATACCGATATATCACAATGTCTGAAATAAAGATGGAACTATGTAGAGGCGAGGTTCCGAACTTTTTGAAAAACTATGCATTGTAAAACTTATTTCCCACTCCTAAGCCTTCCAAGTATGTTTCCGAGCACAATTCCAAGTGTTGGTGCTGACTTTTAAATCCCAGTATATCTGAAGGAGCATTTCCACCCCAATCACTTAGCCCAGACACTCAGGTCTTCTGCTGATTCCCTCACTGCAAGAAGCGAAGTTACAGGGAACCAGGCAGAGGGCCTTCTCGGTAGTGGTGCTCGCCCTGTGGAACACCCTCCCATCAGATGTCATGGAGATAAAGAATTACACAACTTTCAGAAGACATCTGAAGGCAGCCCTGTATCAGGAGGTTTTTAATGCTTGATGGAAACCCAGTCAGATGGGCAGGGCATAAATAATAAAATTATTATTATTATTATTATTATTATTATTATTATTATTATTATTATTGACACACACAACCAGCCAGGTCTTTATTCATCTCCAGCAGAGACCCATCACTCCTAGGAGGTCAATATTGACCGCTTTGGGGAACCTGTTAAATGTTTTATGTTGATATTTTATCACTTTCTAAAGAGTGTTCCTGAAATTTCTTCTCTCTAGCCTCTCAATTCTTTTTGTAACTTAGCACCTCTTTCCATCAATATCTGGTTCACTTTGGTCTCAAAAGTTTCTTCCCCTCACCCCGCAGCCAATCCTGGGAGCTGCAAGTAGCTCAGGAATTGGTCATGAAGCAGACAAGGTGTCAGTGGCTGGGAGATGGGGGCTGACAAAGTGTTAATTACTGCCAGAGTGCTCCAGCTTCCCTGCAAGACAGAGATATGAGGCCGCTCTCTGCTCAGACATGATGGAGGACTAGATTTGAAATTGCAATAATAAATAAATAATACTACAGGGCATTATTACCACTCAGTTCGGCACAACCCACTGATCCCAATGGCGTTTACTTCCAAGTAGTACATTCAGAAAGGAAGCGAGAAGCACCAGCAAACCTGGCAAAGACTTACTTGAGCGCATCTCCCCAGTTCCGTCCTGCCGAGGAACTGAAATATTTTTAACGCCAGTTCATAAGGCAGCTGAACGTCAAAGAAGGGAACTTCGTTTATTTCATTCTGAAAAGTAGTCAGAAGAAGTGGGAGACAGGAGTTAAAATAAAATACTGTATTGCTATTTATTCCACAACCTAGAAGAAACAGGAAAGAGACACAAGTTGCTGGTCTGCTTTTTTGCATGTACGAGCCCACAGACTTCATTCTGATAAAAAATCTTATAAAGAATTGGTGTAGAATAGGAGCCCTTAACTTTTGGGGACCCAGGGGCTGTGGACACAGTAAAGTACCTGTTTTGCAGAAGGAAAACTGGCATGCACAGAGCCCACAACCATCCCAAACACAGCTACATACATAGAGTTATAACCAAGGCTAATCAGAGCAGACTTATTGAAAATAACTGGCCTAAGCTAGCCTCGACTAAGGCACACACCAAAACAAAATAGTCAAAAAAAGCAGACAACAGCAACATGAACAACAAGCACTAATAAAAAATTGTGCAAATTCTCAAACAGTGCCAAAAAAAACCTCATTTAAAAAAGAAAAAAATGGGAGGGGCAAGAAAGCTCAGCAGCCACCAAAGGGGTGTCTTAGAGCACGCGGTGCCCCCAGGTATACAAGCTGCCTTATACCATCTGTACCCAATACCAGCCGTACTCAGAATGGACCCACTGATGTTAATGGACATGACGAAGGTCCATTCATTTCAATGATTCTACTCTGAGTAGAACTAATTTGGATACAATCCTATATGTCCCCATAGCTCAACAGCTCTGCCTGGAAGCAGCTCTTTTCCACCCCCTGCTACCGATCCTTTTACTTGGGGATTGAACAAGGTTTGAAGCCGTCTGGTTCCAAACCTGGTAACCATCGTTTCTCAGTTCAGATGGAACCATAAACTATGGCTAACTGACGACTTTGGAGTTTAAAGGCCTATGGCCTGAGTCGTCCTCTTATATACCTACTGGGATTGACAAAGCTGCCTCTGCCTCTGATTGGTTATCATTTAACTCTCACAGGAAGTAATTTGCATCACACGTCATGTGCATGGAAGTTGCTGAACCAATTAACCAACTAGAAGGATTACTGTTAATAGCACCAGTTTTCCTATACTGTAACTTGATATTGCTGAATATGGTAATGCTAGGAAGACAGAGGTTGCGTGTGTGTGAACAAAGGTTGCTCAGCTCCGTATTTAGTCAGCTGACATGTGAGCATCCAGACAAGATCACTCTCCTGGCACAAAATTATCGTTCAGCTCCATACATGAAATGGAAAGACAAGTGTGCAGAGAAACAGGCTACTTCTCCTTTGGCCCTTAGACCTGATTCAAAAGGGAGCCCAGGAAGGCAGAAGAAAATGACTACTCAAAATGGCTCATCTTAGGCTGCCTCTACCAAACACACATCCTGCCTCAGAGAAGGCCGTTAGATGAAGCATCCTATTCCTTCAATTTGAGGGAAGAAATCCTTAAAGTAATGCACAATTATTTCTTCACCTTTACAGGCTGTTTTGAGTACGAAATAACCCATCATCAAAAAGCATACAGAGCACATTAAAAGAAAAAGATCCCCTTGCAAAACTAGCTGTAGCTTTTATCAGGAATCCAAAAGACAAACATCGCCATCCACTCCTTGGAGACACACATTTACACACCAGTGCGCTAATGGAGCTCTGGTTCACTAAATGGATTAATTTACTGCCATCAGAAATTTAATCTGTGCTTTTAAAACAAAAAAACAAAACAAACAAACAACGTAATTAACCAGAAGGGAGAGGAACAAGCTTCTTCTAACCTTTGTGTTAACTGAAAGTTTTTAAGATTAGCAAGCCAGACAGAGATGCAGGAAGAAGTCTTAAATTTCTTGTTGCATACCGTAGCAATGGACACTGTGCTGAAGGGCTGTATATACGGGTTGCATCCAACAAAATCGTTGTGTGTGTGTGTCTCAACTTTTGAGTGCAATTGAACTTCCTGTCTCTACACACACACCCATCTCCAAATCTTCTCTGCAGGAATGGGGGGGGGGGACTCACAAAACACGTTGGAGAGGTCCATTGCACTCATGTAAGTCATTTCACATGCACACTGGTTTAGTTGGAAAGAACCCTAAATCTTTAAGTAACGTAAATCCAACCACCACACTGTACAACGCTGTAAAGTCAGCCCAAGGCCAGCTGAGGGGCAGTTAGAAGCAGTGTAAGGGCTACTCCACTATTGGCAACAACACCCCTCATGTCAATTGAAGTGTGCAGCCACACTATTCCATGGACTGGGCAGAGGATGGTGTGTACACAAATCCACGGGATTCTAAGTAGGGTTCCCTTGCAGACCTAAAACCACAACAGCCCTAGGGCTGGCATAGCATTCACCTGGAGTATTTACACTGGAGTCAATGGAAGGAAAATACTGTTTTTAAAACCCAAAGGCGGGGACAGCAGAAGAGCCACCTCTCCCACCTAGGGCCTCAACTTGCTGCAGAATTTCCCATTACCACAACCGCACAATTGTTCTCTTAAGCTAGGTGTGGAGAACCTACGACTCTCCAGGTGTTGTTGAACGACAACTGCCATCAGCCCTAGCAAGCATGGCCAATGGTCAGGGGTTATGGGAGTTGTACTTATCTTATGCAGTGTACAGTGGTACCTCGGGTTACATATGCTTCAGGTTACATACGCTTCAAGTTACACACTCCACTAACCCAGAAATAATGCTTCAGTTTAAGAACTTTGCTTCAGGATGAGAACAGAAATCGGGCTCCGGCGGTGCGGCGGCAGCGGGAGGCCCCATTAGCTAAAGTGGAGCTTCAGGTTAAGAACAGTTTCAGGTTAAGAACGGACCTCCGGAACGAATTAAGTACTTAACCCAAGGTACCCCTGTACTGGTTTTTGTTTCTTCTTCCACCTCCAGTAAGAGAAAAGCCTCTACAGGCTAAGACAAGACTGTGCAGGGAAGGGACCTTTTGCATGCAATGCACATACTCTACCACTGAGCTATGATGCTTCCCCACAAGACTCATAGACTCATAGAACTGTGAAGTTGGAAGGGACCCTGAGGATCATCTAGTCCAACCCCCTGCAATGCAGGAATCTCAATACACAGACCCCATCCAATTTGAAACCATACCAGACCCTGCTTAGCTTTGCAAATGTACTGGCAGTTTTATTAGAGGCTTCCCTCTTAGAGGCTTCTATTTATCCAGACCATTGGTCCACCCATTGGCTCTTTCTGGGGCTGATGGAGTCCAAAACTTCTAGAGGGCACCACACTGGGGAAGGCCGCTCCATGTTGACAGGCAGCAGCAGGACAGAGACCTTCCCAAAATCACGTCCGAGGCCTCTTGCATACTAGGTATGGGCTCTGTCATCCTGTTTTGGTGACTTATAGGAAGAAGAAGAAGAAGAGTTTGGATTTGATATCCCGCCTTTCACTCCCTTTAAGGAGTCTCAAAGCGGCTAACATTCTCCTTTCCCTTCCTCTCCCACAACAAACACTCTGTGAGGTGAGTGGGGCTGAGAGACTTCAAAGAAGTGTGACTGGCCCAAGGTCACCCAGCAGCTGCATGTGGAGGAGCGGAGACTCGAACCTGGTTTCCCAGATTATGAGACTACCGCTCTTAACCACTACACCACACTGGCTCTCTAGGAACATAGGAAGCTACCTTATCCCATGTCAGACCACTGATTCCCCCCCCCCAAGCTCAGTAATGTCTACATCGGCAGCTGCTCCCCAGGATTTCAGAGAAGTCTTTCCCAGCCTTACCTGGGGATGCTGGCGGCTGAGCAGAGGACTTTCTGTCTGAGAGGCAGATGGTCTACCACTGATCTATAGCCATTCACCATACCAGGTTGGTACGTTGCATCCATCTAGCCCAGTATTGCCAATATTGGCTGGTATTGCCAACATTGGCTGGCAGCCGCTCTCTAGGATATCAGACGGGGTGGGGGAGCATTCTGAGATCTTCCTGCAGATGCCCGAGGGTTAGTTAGAAAGTGGTACTGTTAAAGTTGCAGGTTCGATCCTGTACAGGACAGCTGCAAGGGGTTGGACTAGATCAGTGGTTCCCAACCTTTTTTTGGCCATACCCCACCTAAGCATCTCTAAAAACCTGTGACATATAATTCTTATTATTCAAAAAGTGAACTATTCACCTGGAGGAAGCCTAAAGGGTTATTCACTGTTATTTAAACCCGTAACCCGTATTTTAACCCATATTTTAATTAACCGTTTTTTCTTTTTCTTTTACGTTTTATTGCAATTTTATTGGTGTTAGCCACCCTGAGCCCGGTTCTGGCCGAGGAGGGCAGGCTATATATTTTTTTTAATTCTCATTATTATTATTTATTAATAACTCGTTATCAAATTGTCCCCCTTAAAAATAAAACTGCCCCACGTTGGTTACCACAGGACTAGATGGTCCTCAGGATCCCTTCCAAACCCTATGATTCTATGACCCTCTGCATGCAAAACCTTCTGGTGGTTCCCTCACTGTGAGAAGCGAAGTTACAGGGAACCAGGCAGAGGGCCTTTTCGGTAGTGGCGCCCGCCCTGTGGAATGCCCTCCCACCAGATGTCAAAGAAATAAACAACGATCTGACTTTTAGAAGACATCTGATGGCAGTCCTGTTTAGGGAAGCTTTTAATATTTGAAGAATTGTTGTACAGTGGTACCTCGGGTTAAGTTCCGGAGGTCTGTTCTTAACCTGAATGTTCTTAACCTGAAGCACCACTTTAGCTAATGGGGTCTCCTGCTGCTGCCGTGCCGCCAGAGAACAATTTCTGTTCTCATCCTGAAGCAAAGTTCTTAACCTGAAGCACTATTTCAGGGTTAGTGAAGTCTGTAACCTGAAGCGTATGTAACCCGAGGTACCACTGTATTTTAATATTTTGCTGGAAGCCGCCCAGAGTGGCTGGGGAAACCCAGCCAGATGGGCGGGGTATAAATAATATATTACTGTATTATTACCATTATTGTTATTATATTAAACAAGCATAACGCTTCCCCCTGACCTGTAGCCACTAGTGGTAAAAAACCAAACAATCTCAATACTGCTCTGAATCCTACTCCTCGTTCCTTCCCGTACCAAGTCCAGGATGAGCTGCTCCAAAAGGTCCTCCTTTCCTCCTCCTCGAGCCTCGGCGGCAGCTCCCAAATCACAATCCGGCGCGGTGGGGCTGGGGGGCGGCCTCCGAGGCGGTGGCGGCGGCGGCGGCTGCTCCTCCTCCGGATCCCACCGAGCGACGCCTCCGCAGCAGCCCCAGCCCCGCACGGGCTCCGGAGCCCCGCCATCCCCGACGCGCTGCCTTTTCCGGTCGCCTCTGCCCGCCGGCCCTCGGCTGCTCTTCCTGCGGCCCTCCGGAGTCAGCTCGGCCCGCCAGCGGCGGCGGAAAAGCTCCAGCTCGGCCGCTCCGTCGACCATAGCAACACGAACAGAGATACCGGGTTCTGTCGGGGCTGACACCGGACCCTGCCGCTTCCGGTTTCTAGGTGCGCTGGCGACAGCAGCCCGGGCGGAAACTGAGGCTGCCGCTCCGGGGTTCCGCCGCGTCGTCGGGGAGCAGCGCGCTCGGCCAATCAGCGAAGGCAGCGCCGGCGGAGAGGGCGGGAGCAGCTCCGAGTTCCACGGAGAGCCGGTTCGGAGAGATTCCTCTGCAAACCGCGCTTTGTTGCGGCATCTTCTCCCCGCGCAGAAACGTATAGATAATAAAGCAGCAGCAGCAGCGATGTATTTCATGCCACTCCGGCAACCGACACGCCCCTTCGAATTTCTTATTCGTGTTTCTGCTTTATTTTGAATTGTTGCTTGTGCCATATAATTAAAGCGTTGCACTGCAATACTATGCGTTGTTGTTGTTGTCGTGGCCGTTGCCATTATAATGGGTATATCTTGCAAGTCAGGTGCTCCACACCTCTCATTTCTTATGATGGCACTCTCCGCTTACCCGTCTCCTCGCAAATATCTGGATACCCAGTCTTATCCTTTCTTCTTGTGGGCATAACATCCCATGCCAGCCTTGGTTTGGTTCCGTTTAGTTATTTCGTTATGAAGGTAGCCCTGTTTAGGGAACTTTTTATTGTTTGATGTTTTATTCTGTTTTTAATCTGTTGGGAGCCGCCCAGAGTGGCTGGGGAAACCCAGCTGGATGGGCGGTGTATAAATATATTATTATTATCTCATAAAGTTTCGTTTTGTTATTTGGGTTACATTCACGGCTTTTTTTTTCTAGCCAGAATTCACCGGAACCGAGTTCCTGCACCTCTCAGGTGGACACCGTTGCCATTACAGGAGAACAAGGGAGGTGTTCATGATGAGTTCCAGTACCTCATTTTCTAGAAAAATAACACTGGTTACATGGATAAAATTAAATAACAATATTCCCCACCCCACCCACCCCAAAATCATTATTATCATCATCTATTACCTTACTAAAAGTAGGCCCACTGAAATTAATCAGACTAAGATAACTTTGGTGGGGCTACTCTTAGTAGAACCTAAATGGATATAATCCTATTAAGTCAATTGCTTTGAAGTGTGATGCATAATTGGTAAATGCTATTATTGTTCCTATCGGAGGATTTAACTGTGAGGCAGAGTTTTAATTGGTAAGGCTGAGAGGTATTGTGAGAGCTATTGTGGCTCTTGGGTGCTACTGCTCCAGGGAATGAAATAAAACTTTACCAAAGGTAGCTTTTTATTCTTATCATGTGGTAACTTTTTCTTACCAAATTATACATTATTATTTACCGCTGATTATATTTATGGCCTATTGCAACTCAGCCTAATCTGGTGCAACTGACACAACCATAAAAATGTTCCCTTTCCCTTCCTCTTCCTTTGTTATTTTCCTTGTTGGGTGTATACTCTGGAAACTGTACATTAAGGAACAGAATAACATTATGCAATACAGTGATACCTCGGGTTAAGTACTTAATTCGTTCCAGAGGTCCGTTCTTAACCTGAAACTGTTCTTAACCTGAAGCACCACTTTAGCTAATGGGGCCTCCTGCTGCTGCCGCGCCGCCGGACCCCAATTTCTGTTCTCATCCTGAAGCAAAGTTCTTAACCTGAAGCACTATTTCTGGGTTAGCGGAGTGTGTAACCTGAAGCGTATGTAACCTGAAGCGTATGTAACCTGAGGTACCACTGTACACACCCATGTTTTCTCTGAATTGTGTGGAAACACTATACACACAGGTTTAATTTCCTTTGGAGGAAAGAGAGCACTGGACACCTGCAGTGTCTTTTACTGTTTTCTTTCATTTTATGATTCAGAAAGAGCCTAAGTCAGACCATGGTCCCTCTAGCTCGTATAGCAATGGCTGTGCAGAGTGTCAAGCAGGGAATCTTTCCCAGCCCTGCCTGGAGATATATGGATGAATCTGGGACCTTCTACTTGCAAAGATGATGCTCTACCACTGCAATTGTAGTGTTGGAAGGGGACCCTGAGTGTCATCTAGTCCAACCCCCTGCAATGCAGGAATCTCAACTGAAGCATCCATGACAAATGGCCATCCAGCCTCTGCTTAAGAACTTCCATATAGAATCTGACAACCATGTCTTTGCTGCGCACACCATGACATATTATATGAAAATGCTTGCTCTGAGTACAGATAGTGATGGGGATCCTCTAGCCCTCGAGATGTTGCTGGTCTTCTATTATCCCTGACTATGGGCCATGCTGACTGGGGCTGATGGGATGGGGCCTGGAGTTCATCACTCTCTAGAGCAGGGGTCAGCAACCTTTTTCAACCTCAGACCATGTGGTGGGCCGGACTATATTTTTTTTTGGGGGGGGGAATGAACATATTCCTATGCCCCACAAATAACCCAGAGATGCATTTTAAATAAAAGCAAGGTCGGTGGTTCGAATCCCCTTGACGGGTTGAGCTCCCGTTGCTTGGTCCCTGCTCCTGCCAACCTAGCAGTTCGAAAGCACGTCAAAATGCATGTAGATAAATAGGTACCGCTACGGTGGGAAGGTAAACGGCGTTTCCGTGCGCTGCTCTGGTTCGCCAGAAGCGGCTTAGTCATGCTGGCCACATGACCTGGAAGTTGTATGCCAGCTCCCTCGGCCAATAAAGCGAGATGAGCGCCGCAACCCCAGAGTCGTCAGCGACTGGACCTAACGGTCAGGGGTCCCTTTACCTTTACCTTTAAGACATTCTACTCATGTAAAAACACGCAGATTCCCGGACCATCCGTGGGCCAGATTGAGAAGGCGACGGGGCCGCATCTGGCCCACAGGCCTTGGGTTGCCTACCCCTGCTCTAGAGGGCTATAGGTTAGCTATCCATAACCTATGGCTATTCCGCATCAGATCCCAAGAGATAATGAATCCTTGCCCTCTAATGTATTTCACCTTTTAAACCAACTCACAGCTCTCTCCCCTGGGCTTTCTGCCCTTTTCTTCCTTTCTTCTCTCTCCCTCTCTCTCTCTCTCTCTTTCTCCCCCCCCCCATTGCAAAAGTCATTCCCCCCCCCCACACACACACAACCTGCCAAGTTCTCACCTCTCTCTCACCCCAGCAGGTGAATTGCCCATTCAGGGAGACCATCCACAGCTATTAAAGGAACATTAACATTCACTTGTCAAATCTCTTTTCTCTAATTGGGCAACACTTTCAAGGCCAAACCATAGTGATAAGCCCATCAGGAGCTACCAGAACAGCAACCTCAAGTTCAGTATTAAATGGAGGATTTGCAGGAAGAGGGTTCATTTCACACATCACAGGAAATGAAGGGCAACACAAATAAAATCATGGTGTAGGCGTGTGTTTTGTTAAATCTGAACAGGAGACAAATAAGCAAGTAGACACTGGGTCAGGAACCCAGGCTCCCATATAACATGTTCCCCGTACTATTCATCCCATAGGAGGATAGGAAGCTCCCTTATACTGAATCAGACCATTGGTCTTTCTAGCTCAGTACTGTCTACACTGACTGGCAGTGCCTCTCCAGCACGCAGGCAGAGGACACTCTAGTCTGGAACCCTGAAGTACTGAACGGAAACATTTTCGTCCAGTATTCCTGAAACTTGCTCGGTGGGGAGCTCTCCGTGGTACTGAACTTCAGCAGCCTGATTTCTGCTTTGCACTGGAACAGAGGGAACTGCCTCATTCTAAGTCAGACCAAGGACACATTCAGTTTAATATTGTCTGTGCTGACTGGCAGCGGCTCACCAGGCTCTCTGTCAGTCCTACCTGGAGATGCCAGGGATATGTTGTAAACTGCCCTGTGATCTTCGGATGAAGGGTGATATACAAATTTAATAAATAAAATAAATTAAACATAGTAGCTTCTGCCTCCAATAACTGAGGTTCATAAGGGGTATGAACTTCATCAGCAAGGCAACAGAATCCACCTGTATTACAATCCACATTGATTGGCTGATTGGGAGATTCATCCATGTAGCTCACTACTATGTACACCATGAGTGGTTAATCATCTATGAAGGTCTCTGCCCCAAGGCATTTACTATCGCGAACTCAACACAGAGTTGAGAAGAAGTGTGCATGCACACGAAAGCGTATACCCAGAACAAACTTAGTTGGTTTCTAAGGTGTTACTGGACAATTTTTTAATTTATTTCAACACAGAGGAGACATAAAAGAAAGGAATTTAAGGAAGCAGAATAAACAAAGGATGAATGTGTTTTTATTTTTCAGTTAACATGAAGTTAAGCTTAGTTAGGAATGGGCAAAATGGCTTTTGTGTGTGTGTGTGTGTGAGAGAGAGAGAGAGAGAGAGAGAGAGAGAGAAGGAAGGAAGGAAGGAAGGAAGGAAGGAAGGAAGGAAGGAAGAAGGAAAGTAGATAAGCAAAAGAAAGAAGAGGGGAAAGTGAAATTAGGAAAAGTTAGAGGAAGAAGGTAAAGTAAAGGAAGACAGAGGAAAACAGGGGTGCAAGCTTGAAGAAAATATTGGGGTGCCCAGGTAAGTCCCTCCCCACATAATCAAATCACAGGATGGGGAGCACCCACACCGTTTGATGCAAATCAACTTTTTGGGGGGCGCCCCTTAAATATTTTATTGATGGGGCGAAGGGATTTCGGCGCCCTAGAAGTTGGCTCCTACGGAGGAAAAATGAGAGGAGCAACACAGACGTCCGTGAGAGGGAATGAAAAACAAGGAAGGTGGAAGGTGGAAAGAAGGTGTAAGAGCAGGAGGACAGGTAAGAGAAAGAAAAGGAAGGGGGGAGGGGATAGTTGAGAGAGAGACAGAGTAGGAAGAAAGGAAAAAAGAAGGATGGCCGAGAGAGAGAGAGAGAGGAGAGGAGACGGCTGCCCCGAAAGAGTTAAGCCTCCCTCACTCGCTCCCTCCCTCCTCGGCCGCGTCTCTCCCTCGCCGCCGTCTTGCGGCCGCCCCGTCGGGGAGGATGATCTCAGCCAGCATGTGACGCCCGAGCGCGCCACGCTCCGCGCCAGACTGACAGCCGCGGCGGCAGCAGCCTCAACAGCAGCAGCGGGAAGAGCAGCAGCAGCCTCGGCGGCGGCGCATCGGCTGGCGTGGCGGCGCGTCTCGGGGCTGGCGAGCGGCGCTGGGCTGGGCGGCGAGGGCGGCGGGGGCGAGGGCGGCGGGGCGCCGGGCCTGGCCACCATGTGCCCGTCGTGCGCCTCCTCGCTGCCCGGCCGCCCTCCGGCCGCCGCCTGCTTCTGCGCGCAGAGCAGCCCGGGCCGGGCGCGCGTCTCCGGGGCGCAGCTCACGGCGGCGCGCCTGC